AAATTATTGATTTATAGCATTTCCAGACTTTTGATCCTATTAAAGTAAAAAGTTATAAATTTTGTTCCTTAAAAAGGGATATAAGTGATCTGTGAAATTTTATATACTAAATACTTTAGGAACCCATCATTACCTGCAACCTATCAAAATAAGTAATCACTATATATCATGGGAGGATCAAAAGTTAAGTAAATTCTGCCTCAGAATATGGAATAAGAAACTACCAATCAAAAGAAAACTATATATAAGAGCCCCCTTACTATATCAAAACAAGAACTGCTTAGTATACAAAGAACCTAAAACTAATATATATTACTTATATGCCTGCAGACTAGATAAAACACTGAGAAATTCCTTATCAATACTATAGTTAAATATGTGGAAACATATGTGGGCAAAATTAAAAGCTCAAAATTCATAGATTATATAAAAAATAAAACCTAATAACAAGTATAAAAGGAGTTTTTTTTAAAGAACTAACTTGCAAATCAAAAGGATAATTTCAAACAAATTAATTAGGAAAAGCTGCATCTCCTTAATTCATACAAAAATTATCAAATACCTTTATCAGATATGGATAAAAAAATGTGAGGCCTTTCAAGAATAGAAAGCACAGAATGATATCACAAAACAAAAAAAAAAGAAGTTCAAATATGAAACCAAAGAAGAAGACAAGACCCACTCTTCATGCAAAGAGAACAATTCATAAAAGATCAGTTTATTCACCTGATTAATAAATTTCTACATAATGAATAATAGATGAGATAGACAATTTTTATATTCTTGAAATTTATTTTAGCACTATCCCAATCTTGACAAGTTAGCTCTCATTAAAGAAGTAAAAACAAGTTGCAAGGTGAGTTCCTTCAAAGAGAGGTTATCTCTATTGAGTTTTGTTTAGTAGTAGACTGGTAGTATATCTTAGAAAACTTTTATATAATGATACTACATAAATATAAATAAAACAAGGTTAAGCCAGCATTAAAAAAAAAAAAAAAAAAAAATACAATTCATCAGAAAATAGAAAGTTATCTTAAAAAGCAAAGTTTATATTATTATAATATTCTGAAATCTCCTTATTCTACTTTTTTGATAAATAAATTTTATAGATATGCAGATTATATAGAAAGGCAAAATAAAATCTCAACAAGATAGAATTTAACAAGCAGTAACAGAATAGACTATCTTTAGATTTTATATGCTTAACAAGTTATCTATTACTTTGATTCAATAACAAAGATATTAAAGATATTATACTATGCTTCTAATAATTCTATACAATAAAGATCATTTTATAAGAAGCAAATTATAAAATTTATTATAGATACACAAAATGAATTGATATACTATAAAAAATATTTCTAATATAATAATAAATCTTTTATAAAAGCTTGAATTATAAGTCTAAAATATTATTAGAACTTTTGCTTCAAGAAGAACTTAATCCAGATGAAAAAAAAATTAGATAAACAAGCTATAAAAAATCTTTAAAAAACTATTATGTAAAGTAGTTTTTAATAGACTGATAACAAAAAAAAAAACAACCCAATTAGAAGAAAAGAACTATAAATGTAGTTTTAAATATATTCATCATAAAAAGCTCTATAATTAAAAAAACTTTTCAATAGAACAAAAATATTGAAAGAAATAAACATGATATGGTTCTCAACTTGATTATTGAAAAGTATAATAGTCTTTATAATCCAAATTATTAAATTAAAAATTATTGCATCTAATATAGTATCTCTAATATACTATAGAATTCTTCAAAAAAAAATATTTAAAATATAACAAATAATCTTAAATTTATTTGTTAAAGGTTAAAAAATCAAGATGCTATCAAAAATATTATAGTATAAAAGTATAATAATTTGAAACCCAATTTGAAATGAATAGGCAACTCCTTAATCAATTGAACTAGAAACAAAATAGTACTTCAATATCAAGCAAAATGACAATAAATGTATTATAACACAAAATGATAAAATCAAAAAAAAAAATAAGATATTATTATCTTAAAGCTTTTAAAAAAAAACTTTTATGATAGCTTACTAAAAGATTGAAAAGAAAAGTATACAGTAAATATATAGAATATAATGTATCCAAGAAGTTTGATATGATAAACTATTTAAATCAATATCACAAGAAGAATTAAATGAAATATTGAATATATTTTCAAATAACAAAGCTTTAGGAAAATCACAGATTAACTATAAAATGCTGAAAAAGTTCATCTAAAAAGAAAAAGAACTTTTAAGAATAATACCAAATAACTTTCTAAGATGGAAAGTTATTTCAAAATATTATAAAGTAAGTCATATATATCTTATAGCTAAGTCTAAACTCTAGAATTGTAAACTTTTAAATATCAGACCTATTATTCTATTAAAGATCACAAGAAAGAATTTCATCAAAGTACTTATTAATAGAATTAAAAATATTTATAAAAATAATAATATTCTTAAAGAAATAACTATGCAGAGTTACCAGAAGAAAATATAATAGAACTAACTCAAATTTTAAATAATAGATTTTATTAAAATATGTTATTATGTACATTTTATACAATAAAGTTTATTTACTCCGTTCACATATTTAAACCCAATTTTCTGCACTTACGTCCATTATCAAATTTGCATACATTTAGTAAAGATGGCTGAAAAAAGAGAACTCGCTATTTATAAAAAAAATTGTAGTTTTTTTAATGATAATTATAGCATTAGGATGGGCAAGCATATTGATTTTATAACATTGATAAAGATATCCCCGTCGTCCAAACTTTAATTCAAGAACCAAAGAACAATAAGGAAATTCCTATTCCTGTTCCAAGTATGCACAGAAATAGGAAATGCACTTTTTGGTTGTCTCTTGTTTAAATACTAATTTTTTTCTTTTCCTTTCTTTTTTTTTGTTAATAATATACATTATATAAGGTTTACTCTTTTTATATGACCAACCATTTGATTTATTCAGCTGTCAATATCTTTTTGCTAACGCTTCCGTTAGTGATTTCAGCGATAGAACAACGAGAAATACACATAATTACTCGAATTTCACTTATTATTTAATGACTTTCAACGAACCAATATTTAATTTTGTTTATTTATACGACACTAATGATACCAATAACAACGACGTCACTGAACTTTCTATCCTGTTTAATACTACCCGTAGCGCGAATTTGGTTCCTCAGGTTATACTTTTTGATAATGGTAGATACCGATATACAGTATATACTGCATATTATTGGAAAAGAATATTTTTATTTAAAAGGAAGCTTGCTTATACGCATATTATTTAATTTGACATAGCCACTAACCCTTTTCAGGATAATATTGGTGCCATATTTAATGGCTTCACCGGGGTTGATCCACTTGTGCAATCATTTGCGCTATTAAATCAATATGTTCTTCCACTTGGACTGGTATGTCAACATTATCATTATAATTTGGATAAGGAAATGTCTTAATTCAACTCATCGTTATTAACTCCAAACAATGCAATGCAGCAAGCCAATGTATATTTTTCTCGGCTATCCATGGATATAGTGAAACCTAGCTGGATGGTTGCGGATGTTTTAGGAATTCCACCACGTCATAATACTACTACTATCTTAATAGTAGGCTTCGTGAGTAATATACAGTACATATTAAATATTTTGTTTAAACACTTGGTCTCTCTTTAAATATTTTCCATGTCTCAATTCAATTATAGAGCCTCTCTCAGCTATTAATTCTAGTGATAATTCTTGTCGATAAGAATATTTCTGCAAAGTCCTGTATTTATAAAAAAAATACAACAGAGGTAGGATGTGTAAATTGAGATTGATGTATCATGCACGTATGAGTAAATACGTAATCACATCGTTTCGGATTCAAAAGATCACATACTGTAAGTTACTTGCATTCATTAATTGATGCGTATTCATTTATCTGACCGTATGATCTCAATTAGGTGTATGCTGCCTCTAGCGCGATGGGTGGTCTTTGGACATCTTTGATCGCCATTGCCACAGGTATTTCAGGTATTTCAGGTATTTCACAAGAAATTCTTTTTATAAGAAGGTATAATTGATATCATGGTCCTTTACTTATCTGCTAATTTATTCATATTTAGGATTACTCTTTCAGTCACCCTTTTAATTTCCGTTCCATGGAAAAAGTCTCGGGAAGATCATAATGATCAAACAATTGGAATCCAACAGGCTAAGGAATAGTTGGTTGCCTATATTGGGAAGAATACCATCATTTATTATATAACATACTGTATGTTTACATGTAGTATTTTATACAACTGTGTTAACAAATGCGTACGTATTAACAAATATGGTTAGAACTCTATATTTATAGGAAAAGGAAACTCTATTTTTAAACTTTAAGATTATTCGCATTATGGTCATAAAATTTGAAAGAAGAATCTTTCTATAATGCGATTAAATGCTTCACGATGATTTACGACCAGATGATTGATTTGACATTAGGGTTGAGTAAAATGATGAGTAATTTTATTCTATAATTAAAAAAATAGTTATATCTCGAAATTTCTTATATCATAAAAAATTTACGTGTAATGTAAATAAAATGAATATTTAATTGTACTGGCCCTTTGAGAAGATATTTAAAATTAACAATTCTACTAGAATATAATATGACGGAAAAATCGAAATACTGCATATGCATGTAGGAGACAACAATGGTGTACTTTTCGTACTCTATTATCGCTCGGATTTGCAAAACAAGAATAAAAAGAAGAAATATTGTATATGCTTATGGGAATGTGCGCTCCCGAGCCTATAAGAATGAAATATGGACAACACCTCCCTACTCCAACATGGCTCGTTGCGGAGAATACGCGGGGAGCACGCAACGTGTAATTTTTTTGATGAAAACAAGGCCACGAAGAGTACGCAGCCGTGTTCTTAGCACAAATGTCACACATCGCGTGGAGTGCACGACTGTGCTTTAATCGAAAACTTACGTTACGGGAGTACGCAGTCATGTCTAACTCAACTGCACGTTGTTGGCCGTGCTCATATCATTAACCAATTGCGGAAGGTTCACAGCGGTTTGTGGACGAGAGTCGGCAGTATAAGAAGACATCGCGTTGGATGTCAGTATAAAGTGAGAGTGGGAGATTGGATGGGCCGGAAAATATAGTTTCGGCAAACAAACCGCAGAAGAAGCAAAATTATCACCGAAAACATTGCAATTATTCTAACTCGAAACGTCTAGACAAATAGTACATCAAATCATCGATCGATCTGAAGTCACATCCTCGCAACAATGGCTCGCCTGTGACTTCGTCTCGGTCAGTTTAATTTTATAATTTGGGAGACATTTTCTGGATAGGACCCTATTGGCGCATAGCATGAAAATGTACGCAGGAGTTCTCATAACTTATCAACAAATACATACCTGGTAATAACCATTGTACCCTTTCCTATAGTATTTATTTGTTCACTTGATCCGCGTTGAGTCGACGGAGTGGATTGAGGATAAGACTTTGACATGTTGCCCAGCCCACACTCGATCAAATTGATTAAGTCTGATATGTGGTATACGTACTGCCGTTTAGACCACGAGATACTATCAAGTACATCAGATCGTGCACACATAAATTATGGATTCTAACATATTAGCATCATTTAACATAAGCTTGAGTGAGTGAAATTTTAACAAGCTATGCCATATGCATTTATTTTAGTAATACAGTAAATGCATTAATTGATTATAGATTATTTGTTTTGATTGTTTTTAATACAATTATTTGTATTTCGATATACAGCACAGTATTTAAAATAAGCGGACAACTTATTCGAATAAATTCATTTATCTTTAAACTGCCAAACCATGTAATTATTAAAGGCTGTCTTACTGAAACATGTAAAATGCATACACACACGTTAAAAAAAATTTTCTTTTTTTGTAAAAAACAAAAGACAAAATAAATAAACAAATAGGCAAATAATAATCATTAAATAAAATAATATTAATAAATAAAAAATCGATTGCACTATATATTTGTTAGGGCAATAATTAATTAATAAATAATTCGGTATTTTTCTGTTTAAAATAGATTTGGTAATGTTCCTACTTGATAAATTAATTTTTGCAAAATATATTGATTATTTGACCACATTGAAATTATTTTGAGATATTTATTTATTTATGATTAATAACGAAACGGAACATTTTAAGTTATTAGTGGGCATTTTTAACGCAGGTTTATATTTGATATATCTGGCAGTTGCGAAATCAGACCAACGTACGAAATCATAAAAATGCGCATGAGTTGTAGTTGTTTGATTCAAGAAATTCATAATCCTTCGTTTTTTTATATGATTTAAATAATTTTAGAGTAAACACAAGAGCATGACACGTTTTTTATATGGTAATAATATCCTACGAGAATCTTTTTTTAGGCGATATAAAAAGTATAATATTATAAGTTTGTACAACGCTAATGAATATATGACATAATTATTCAAATTTTTAGCAACTCCTTAAATGATAAAAATTTCTAATATAAATTTCAAATTTTTATTGGTGATAAAATTATAAGATATCAACAAGCTGAAATTTTTTTAAAAACTTAATGATATAAATTTGTATGAATATGAATAAGCTAGATTATTTAGGTGAGACTTGAAAAATTTTTTCAATATCAATGTAATAGATTATTCTCACAATACTTTTATTTAATGTAATTTAGATAATTTAACATTTACAAAAAATTTTTTATTTATCAGTCTTATTTTATAATTTATTAACTTTATGTCTGTGGGAAAAGATGGGAAATTTTTCATTGCAATATAGTACATAAAAATACGCCAATATTATTTATAAAATTCATAGTGTTTTTCTAGTGTTGATATCAACATATTGACATCCAAGTTTAATGAGGTATATCATAAGAAACTTTTAAATTTCGAGAATATTTAAAAACAATAACATAAGATCCTATCCATATCTAGCAACAGTGCATAAATGCACCGAATAAACAAGATTTTTATTTCATACGCAACGTAATATATATAGATATTTTTATATAATATATAAATTATAGCAAATAAGATTTAAATTGATAATATACGTAAGTGTCTTCCTAGTTAAAATAATTCTTAATTAATATTAAAGAAAGATTGGTTGATGTATTACCATATGTACATTGTAAGTAGGTCTTACCTTTGATGCTTGTGTTATTATTGATGTTCATCATATTTTTCCAGTTTTCTATCACTCGGACAAGTATTTTTAAATACTATATGTAAAAACAAATTAGTAAATCGCTATCCAGTACGTATTTATTAAAAATAATGAATAAATAACTACCTTTAGAAATAGTTAGTTCGTATTGAGAATCAAATTCTATAAAATTAGTGTTCGTTAATATTAAAAAATGCTTGCCCATAAAAATATGATTTACATACAAAAACTTGCCTAGTTGTTCTTCTATAAGATTTAGATTTATACATTAGTTATTAAAATTTTAAAAATTTTAAAAAGTTAATTTTTGCTTACCTAAAGTCGCATTTCTTGACCTAGGAAGGTCGGGAAATGTGTATAGTTTACTAGTCTGATTGGCAAATATCTTTAATCTAGAAGACTTAATCAAGCCTTTCTGATTCTTCTTTAATACTTTATTCATGAAAAAATCGGTAGTTTTCATTCTAAAAGATTTATGTTTATGTTTTTGTAGCAATTCTTCTTTGTACATCCCACAAAACATGTCAAATACTGTTATCGCATTTGGCCTATTTTCGGGATTAGCATCCCAGCATTGTTGCATTATTCGGACATATTCTAATGGCATATCTTTATAAATTTTGGGGCGTATACCACTAATAATTGCCAAGGCCAAATTATTATCATATTCCATGTACCCAAATGGAGTTTCACCAGCCGCAACTTCCCACATTAAAATTCCTAGACTGTATATATCCGACTTCTGAGTATGCTGCTGTTTACCACATAAGACCTCCGGTGCAATATAAGGGAGATTTCCATAGATTATATTTGGGGGTTTATCCACCGGTCCACAAAAACCCATATCACTAATATAGAATTCATTACAATATGAATTACATAAAATGTTGCCTGAATTCAAGTATCTATGAACCGAGTTTTTTTCATGAATTCGATTAAGGCTAATAGATATATCACAAATAATATCATATTTTTTTATCCAAGTCAAAGATAAACAATTTTCCATTAAATATTGCCTTAAGTTGCATGTAAGTGGATTTAAAACAAGCATGTAATCATTATTCTGTGGATCTTTGGTTAGCCCATAGCTTCCACATAGATACCTTCCCGCGTTATCAAGAATAAATTGCGATTTAACCTAATTATTTATAATAGTAAAATAAGATATTATTTTATAACAAAAAATCATCAATGGTTAATATAAACTAACCTCTTGAAACCAATCTCCATTGTCATTGGCTGAATTATGTAATTTTTTTAAAATTACTTTAGCGCAAGGACTTCTTTCTAGTGATCGTGTCTCTTTATTCCATTTTATATAAGGGCCATCGTTCCAAATTGCAGTATAAATTGTAGAACATCCGCCTTCTGTCATATACGTAATATTTTGAAAATTTTCATAATTTATCCATTCTATAATGGTATTATAAATAACAACTTCCTTTTGACATTCTTGAATTAATTTATCTATATTCTCATTTCCTGAAGTCCAATTTGAAAAATTATTCTCTAAATACTTTCGAATACATAATTCGCAATATTGAATTGCATGACACCAATTGTAGCATTCGCTGCACATTCGTTTTTCACTTGATTCTTCTATTCTAATTACATCATAATAACGTTGAAGCTCGTCAACTAACTCATTCTTTTCCGAGTCCGTTAATAATGGATCATTTTGAAATTGTTGTCGAAAATATTCCACTTGTTGGCTTATATTAGGGTATTCGACAACATCTAATTGCGCAACTGCCTTTGTCCATGCATCATTAATTCTAGTTCTAGACATTTAAAAAAAATTTGTAAAAAAACTAGTTAAATGCATAAATTTTTTTATTTAAAATTTAAAATTAAAAATTATAAAATTAAAATTACAACAAAGTTTCAAAACTTTATAATTATTAATTATAGTATTATAAATTAATATAAGGTGGGGCTTTTCATATTAAATTTATAATAGCAATTTTAAAAATTAAGGATATTTTTTATATTAATGAGCAATCTTTTTTTATTCTAATTTTGAATAATAATAATGCTATATATTGGTGTTATTTTTTTTTAAACTCTTAATCAGGCTAGGTATATGTACTTTATTAAATGTTTGTATGCTTTATACTTTAAAATGTTTCATTAAAGCTAAATCTCTATCTAACTCACTTGTTTCTGTTTTATAAATTTTTTAAAACTCTAAGTATAACTTTGGGAATAATTTATTACACAATTAGTAGTTTAGGTAAAACATCTTTTGACTACTAACTTTATAGTCTACAGGTCACTATTGCAAATTACTTTGTGAGATTCTGACAAGGCTTAAAACTCAATCACTTTATTTTATATTCAACTCTTCTTGTAAAATATTTTTGAGGTTTTCCTTTTAAGTATCCTTTCTTTATTGATGATTTTCTTTTTATCAGAGACATGGTTTTTAGACTTGGGAGATTAAGGTCTTTTGGTTTTGTCTTTTCTATGGATTTTGGGTATCCACTTCTATTCAATTATTTTCTCATATCTTATGTTTCAAAAAAATTTTTTTTTAACTTAATTGCAGACTTTTTTTTATATTTTTAGTATCGATTTTTTTGCTTTTTTTCTTATTTGTTTTTTATAATATTTCAGATCTACTAATTTTTAAATAAGATTATTTCTTATATTATTCATACAAAAGCTTAAAATAACTTAACTAGTTTTTGATATTTGTTTTACTAGTTCAAAAATCTATTTGTTTAGTTTTTCCAGTTCTTTATGATTGTTTATAATTAGTTTATATTTTTTTAGTAAGACTTTTTTTCTCTTCTTTGTAGAAAATTTTTGAAATATTTATAAGTTCTATCTATTCCTTTCTTTTATATTTCTTATATTTAATTCTTATAGATTAAACATTTTAGCAAGTGATCTATTGTTTTATATTTAGGACTATATAAATATATTTTACTTGCTTATATGGATCAGATATTCTAATAGCCAATTTACTTAAAATTAATAGTTTATTATTTATCAATTTAATAAAAAAGATTCTTAATTATGATTGTTTAAAAGATATGTTTTATATATATCTATATTTTATTTTTCACCACATTAAATTTCATATATAAACTTGTTAATTAATACTTAATAACCCTATTTTTTCTTTGTTTTATTTTATTATATTTATTAATAGGAATTGTTTTATTATTAATAATTTTAATAAATTGTCCAATTAAATTATTTATAGTTATTTCTTGAAACTTTATTTCTATACTAATTTTATATAATATGAGATTGTTTTATTTAATCAATAGAAATTTTAGAGCTTTTTTACTAGAGTATTTATTCTTCATTATAAATATAAAATTATTGATATATTTATTAATTTTATTAAACTTTAAATCTATATTTTTCTTTTGAATTAACTCAGTTATTTGTGTCCAAAGGAACCAGTTTTTCTTCTTTGGCTATCTTTTATAAGTTATTCTTGGATCTATATTTTTAATTATCTTTTATTTGAATATATAGACCTAATTGTTAATACAAATTTCAATAATATTATTGATAGAAACTATCAAGAATATGGTTATAATTACTACTAACTCTACCTTTATGAATAAGGATCAGTTATTTATTTCTGTTTGAAATTTGCTTTCTTTATTTTCTGTTTTTATATAAATCTATATTATTTTTATTATTTTATAATTAATAAATAATTCATAAAAGTAAAAATTAACTTTTCTTTAAATCTAAAATTGTGTCAAAATATATTTATTAGGTAATTTTGATTATTCTTTCTTTAATACTTTTTCTAATAATTTTTTTTTTAAAGTTTTTATGTTTATTTGATTTATTTTATTATTTTGAGAAGATATTTTAATGGGATCTCAATCAATATAGATTATATTTTAAATTATCATTTCCAAAATAGTCTTAAGATTTGAAATTATTACTTCTTTTATTTTTCTAGTGAACTTTTTATATTGAGATATGGTATAGTATATATATTTTTTATTTTTAATAAGTACAGTAGGCCTACTTTATTAATTTTAATGTGGTATATATTACTTGAATTAATAAGCTATTTACTAACTTTTTTTCTTTATGTATTTTCTACATTATTCTATTAAAAAGCTAATTGGTTTTAAAAAATCCCTTATGGCTTGATACTTCTATTGAGAACTAATATGTTTAGGCTCTATTAACATTGATACTAAAAATGTGAAAAATATTATATTTCTTTTAAGTATATTGCCTATTATATTTATTATATTAACTAGTTGAGCAAAAAAAAAAACTCTTTCCCACTCGCATCCAAATTTCTAAAAATTTCCTTTTTAGGAAATTTTTTTCGCAAAAACAAT